TTATTTTTATTTTTATTTTTATTTTTTGAAATTATTAAAAGAAATATGATCAAGATAATAAAGTATTTTTAATTAATTTTTATTAGTTTGGATATATTTGTGATTGTAAAATAAAAAAATATATATCTTATATTTAAAATTTTAAAAATTATTCACAAGTAGTAATATAGTAAATATAAATCTATGCTAAAATAAAAAAAAAATACTAATAATCGAAGTAATAATTTAGTTTTGATTAATGTGTTAAATTTGTCACGTGGGATTGAAGAGCCGAAAAGAGTGATTGCGTTCTCATTCCTCACCTCAATCACGGCTCGTTTCTGGAAATCGTACGGTTCGGCGCAACGTAGCCATCCATGGGACCCACATAATGCTTTCATCTCGACCTCTGATTCTGAAAAGTTATGGCTGGGCCCGTTTGACCGTGAACTCGCCTATACGCTGACACGTAGGATAGTCAAACATTGGTGGAGTTCTGACCATCAAGTAATTGTTGGACGGGGAGGGGACCCTGTCGACCAATTTGTTATGATATGATTATATATATATATAAATTAAGAATTTATAATAATTATAATTTGGGTTAAATTTATTGGTTAATATTTTTTTTATAATTTACTTAGAAAGAATTAAGACTTTAATAGAGATTTAGAAACGAGAATGTATGCAGTTAAGGTAAATGAATTTTTTTTAAAGGTTATTTATTCTTTCTTTGTTTTAATTACAAATTATTTTATGATTGAATGGTTTAGTACTTATGTGTCTGAGTGTGTTAACATTTTAGAATGTATGTAGAGGTGATTGTTACATAATTAGTTTAAAATAAATTAAATCTCTATAAAAATATGAGTTTAAACTTTCAATTAAGAGGATTTCGTTTGTGTACTTGAAGTAAGCTTTGACTAGTAAAAGGCCTATTGTCAATAATTTTCGTTATAAATTTTGGACCGCCTTTTTTAATAATGGACCAATTTACCCAGGCCCACTTACGCATCACTCTCCCTCTCTCTCTCTCTCTCTCTCTCTCTCTCTCTATATATATATATATATATATATATATATGTATGTATGTATGGATCTCTGAGTACGTAGAGCTATGAATTTGTTCCTCATTATTGTTCTTTATGGGACTGTCTTTGCTTTCATTGGTGTAGACATGAATGTCATGAGAGGGACAATGGCAAGAATATTCATCTTGTTTGTTTGATGTTGGCACGTACGACATATATATATATATATATATATACAGGTATATATAATAATCTTAAAACAACAAACAAAAATGTGAAGAACTAACTATGTATGTATGAATGATGTATTAAACAATTATATTATAATATGTAGCCTTTAGATAGTCTTTGCGGGTTACTCTGGTAATCTTGATTTGGAGAGTTTAATAATAATACACACACACACACACACATATACATATAAGCACATGCACTGCATGTGCCACTCAAATCATGGCTTTGCTTCCAAATAAATGGTCAATGCTGTCCCGAGTATTGCTACTTTACTGCTGCTCCACTACTCCTGTATACATCTATCCATGTCCCGAACTCCAAACACCATATACATACATACATATATATAATTTCGTAAATTTTATTTCATATTACCATTTCTCACAAAATGATTTGGAAAAAATGAGATTACACCAAGATTTGTCTTTTTTCTCCCTCATTAGTCATATCATTAGGTTCCTATACATGCATCGCTCTCTTAAATAGTAGCCCAAACTCATTAATTATCACACTGACCTTTATAATATAATATAATATATATATATTTATTTACTTGGGTTCCTTCAAAATCAGATAAATATATCAAATTCTTACCAAAAACCTGTGAATCATCAAACCCCTTGATGATTTCAAAATTTAATAATGTTAAAAAGTCCAAACACAAGTTGCCAAAACCATATTTTCTTGATTACCCTTTTGTCTTTCTTATACCACTTTGAATAAAAAACTTTATTTTCATGGCATAGAGCCCTGCAACCAATAAATAAAACCCTATATTTATACAATATATATATATGTATGTATGTATGTATAACAGACACCCAAATGGCGACCAGTGAATAAAACCCTACGTGCATGGTATGTGTGTGATGGATTATAAATTCTTAAGATTCTTAACTTTCTGGGGGCATTGCAGTTGTTGGGCTGGTGAAACAAACGACACCGTTTTTCCACAGGACTACAACTAAAGCAATCGCAAGTGTGTTTCTGTCTTATTTATTTTTTTTATTTTTGTTGTGGGAATGAGAATATAAAATTAGTCTTAAAAATTGACTTCAGAAAATATAAATTTCTCAACTCTAATATTCAAGTGGACAATTTATTTATCAGGAAACCAAAAATGTCAAAAACATTCTGTGAATTTTCATGTCAGCAACTCTTTTTATTTGGTAAATCATTAAATGTTTCGTGTGAACGTTGCTGAATTAATGTCACATGCTTTCTTTTGTTGGGTCGTGCAAGGTAGCTTATCGTAGAATTACAAATTTAACCCTACACATATATATATCACATGTACTTATATTTATATTTATATTTTGAGTTTAAAATATTAATATAAATCATATTAGAATTTTATTATTATTATTATTATTATTATTGTTTTTTATAAACAAAAAAAAATTATGTTTTGAGTTTTAAAAAAATTAATTTGATTTATATGGTAAGTGAATTTTTTATTATTAAGATTTGGTAAGTTAGGTTGACAGTTGGTCAAGTATTTTCTTCATACATGGCAACCTTCAATCTCAACGACCGCTTCACTTTCCACTTATATATATATATATATATATTTATTTATTTTTTAAACCTTTATTAATTTAATTTCTCTTCCATTAATTATCAATACATAACTAACTATCTAAATATAATTTAATACTTCAATTTCGTTAAAATTAATTATTATTAATAAATAATATACTAAATTAAATCTTACTAATTTATAATATTTTTAAATTAAAAAAATATTTTATGAGAGTTAAGGATAATATATGTGGGGTATATATACATATTTTAGTATATAATATACAATTCATTTATTTATATATGTACAAAAAAATTTATTAAATTTGAATAATTTATATATATATATATATTTTTGGGAACTTGTAGTTTTAGTTATGGTACATATTTCACTTATGAAAGAAAGAAAAAGTAGTGGAATAATTAATGCTTTTAATGAATAAGTCTCGTAGGAAGGGCAGTAAGTGAGGAGGGTTAATTACTTTTATGTTATTAATAAATTGATAATATTTTTGTTTAAAAAGTTTACAGCTTAATTTCTGCACGGAGGGCATATTCGTCAATTTAGAAGCAAGCTCCTTCAATGAAGCCAGCCGAGCCGGCGCGTTTTATTGTACAAACGGCGGCTCACGGAAGTTTAAAGTAGCCGAATCTAAAAGTAACTGTTGAAAAAATTGAAATCATTTCGCTCTGCTTTTCCTTCTTCCTTTTTCCTTTTCGGTTTGATTTCTCTGCAGCAGATCACCATTTGCTTCTTCTCTTCGATTTTCCAGATTCCTTTCTCTTCATCTCTGCCAAAATTCAAAACCATTCCCGTGCATTTCTCACTCTTCTTCTTATTCTTCTTCTTCTTCTTCTTTTTGGTTGTTTCGTTTGCTTCCATGGAAACATGTAGCTGTTTCAGCTTTAACTCGCTTTTCTCATTTTAACAGGTGAGCTACTTTTTTGTTTTTTTTTTTTGTTTTTGGTTTGACTGGTTTATCTCTGCATTCTGTTTGGATACTGAGAAGGCTGAGGAAAAGAAAGTGGATTCAGATGGTCAAAAGAGGAAAAAACTGAAGAGAAATTTTAAATTGTTTTTTTTTTTTGCTTAGCAAGGTGTAAGTGTAACGTTTTATTACCGGAACTTTTTTAAGATTTAAAATTCCAGTTTGCTCTCTGCTTTTCCCCTGTTTTCTTAGCAATCAAACAGATCCTGAATGCTTTTATTGTATACTGATTTTTTTCTTTTCACATCAGTTAGCCTTTTGGCCGCAAAGAATATTGTTCAGTCTTATATGTAAAATTCATATATAATTTTTTTTAGAGTACTGGTTTAGATAATCTCGTCTTAATAAATCCAATTAATGCGGGCTAGACCGGATAAAATATATCTTTCCATCTTGAGTTAAGCCAGCAATCTCCACTGCATTGTTTATCAGAAACAGCTGTTACCGTTTCTTCCTTTTGAAGAGTCATGTTTCTCTCTGATCTTTCATTAAGATTAGATGTTAATGGAATTCATTATACGGGGAGAAAAATTATTAACGATTACTAGTTTTTTGGAAATTATTATATAAATTGATTACTGCAAGCTTATCTTCAATCGTTTTCACAATACGACTATTCTATTTGAGTTGTTGTTGCCTTTGGTGTTAATCTCCATTTGACTTTTTCTCTTTATCTCTCTCCTCTTTCATGGAAATCAAATTCATAAAAAATTTCAAATATTCTGACCTCACATTATTAAAATCTCAAAGAATATAAGTAACATTTCTTGACCAAGTATTGTTGTTGCAGCTGTGTAAATGGGCCGGGGGCTTGAATAGCAAATAGCAGAAGCACAGAGATGAAAGGAGAGTCCTCAGGGTTGATCATTGGTATCTCAATAGGGGTGGTGATTGGTGTGCTTTTGGCTATTTCGGCTTTGTTCTGTATCAGATACCACAGAAAGAGATCACAGATCGGGAATAGCAGTTCTAGGCGGGCTGTTACTATCCCCATCCGTACAAATGGTGCTGATTCTTGTACTATATTATCAGACTCGACAATAGGACCAGAGTCACCTGTGAAATCTGGACGAAGTGGCATGTCTCTGTGGCTTGAAGGATTTAAGAGGAATAATGTGGTCTCAGCCTCTGGCATACCGGAATATTCTTACAAGTATGCTCTTAAAACGTTTTTTTTTTTTAAATTAGCATATTATATATTGGCATCAAGAGTTTGCAAGGCATTTATAGACCTTTATGAGTCTGTCAAACATCAATAAGATTTCCTAAATCTTTATAACTAAAGATGCTGACTTTTTATCGGAAAACCTAAGTAGTAACACATTGTAGAAATTGTTTTAGATTTAGATGTCATCTAACAAGTATTTTCTTCCAATTTATAGAAGACAACAATGAAAAATTTAATGTGACTAGGGTGTTAGCATAATCGGGATCAATTTTGTTACGTAAATTATATTTGTACCGAAGTTGGGTATTCCAAATTGAACAGGGTTGGTTTAATCATGTAACAGCTTCATGCTTTTTTCTTGAGTATGTATTAGGTCTTATAGATAATTTGTAAAAAGGTTTTCAATTCTTAGTAAACATATAAATAGGACTTTCAAGTGTGAGAATCTCTGCATCAATATAATATGCAGTTGAACCAAATGGTAGGGGGAGAAACTTCTGTTGAGTTAGTCAACGAGATCAAGTTGTTCAATATTTCTTAGTGTCAGGTGATGACTCATTCAGAACTAGGAGGATGACTTGAATAGCCATTGTGGCAATTAATATGAATATTACTACTGAAAGAAAATCTTGACGCCATTAACTATATCGATAATATATGTTGTACTTCCCAGTTCTTAAAGTATACTATCTTGCAAAGCTGAAGTTTTTTTGACCTGCTTTTCCTTTTGCTTATTGCTGTTCTCCCTTACACTTATGCAGGGATTTGCAAAAAGCAACCTGTAATTTTACTACATTAATAGGATCAGGAGCATTTGGTCCCGTTTACAAAGCTCAGATGTCAACCGGTGAGACTGTTGCAGTCAAAGTTCTCGCTACTGATTCCAAGCAAGGGGAGAGAGAGTTCCAGACTGAGGTAGACATTTCTTAATAGTTGCTTCTTTCAATATTTTGGAAAAATATTGATCTATAACTTATCATAACTTTTATATAACTATAAGCAATGTATCTGCACTGACATGGCGTAACAACATTATCTCTGGGTTCTAACTCTCACCGTTGTGCTTGCTAGGCAATTGCCATACTTTTGGGTTTCTCAAAAGAAACAATACATAGCACATAAGACTAGACTTCACAAATGAATATATGTTTTTTTTTTCCTCCTGTAAGCTAAAGTACTGCAGCGGAGGAACCCCGAGTTTACTGCCTCAGGCATCGGTGCATAGATTTGGCTGAAGATCTGAGCAAAAGGGAACCATTTTATGATTGATCTCAAGAAAAGAAACTTACTGAAGATTTACAAATTAGGGAGTGGCTGGGTTTGAAAAATAGGAATTTGCTAGCCAGTTTTCACAGCACAAAATCGTGGTTATGAAATTTACTCAGTTCTTAATAGCAACGTGTATTATTTAGCTCCTGTAAGCAGCACTATCAATTTGATTGTATGTCATCTAATTGACTTAGTGCAGTGTCTTATTACTTCTGTTTTTCTCTTTGGAAATTTTGGAGTCTAAATTAATTTTTCTGCCATTTTCAGGTGATGTTATTGGGAAGGCTGCATCACAGAAACCTTGTGAATTTGATTGGATATTGTGCAGAAAAGGGCCAGCATATGCTTGTGTATGTCTATATGAGTAAAGGCAGCTTGGCTTCCCATTTGTACAGTAAGATAGCTCTCAACTCTTAGATATAGGCTTTATAGGAAAATAATTTATTCCTGGCAATATTAGTTATATCCTTCATTTGTCATGCTGAAATTACAGATTGTACCGAATCTGGTAAAGTCATAAATTCTTGAGGAAGATAATGTCTAGTCCTCTCTTTTGTTTTCTTTAAAGTTTTTCCAAAAGAAAAAAAAGAGCTTCTTCATTTGAGAAGGCCCTATTTCTAGTTAAGCACTTCTCTACTATATGGTAATGTCATTAGCTTTTCACTGCAGGTGAGAAGCATGAACCATTGATCTGGGAGTTGAGGGTTTATATTGCTTTGGATGTGGCAAGGGGCTTGGAGTATCTCCATGATGGGGTAAGGCATATGGATCTTATTGGACTACCCAGTCGATGTTTTTTTTTGTTGCTGGTGCATTTGCATGTAGTTTCTTGGATCTGTATGCATTCTAATACTTAAGATTAATATCTGATTTTTTCATTGTTATCCCTATTCCAGGCAGTTCCACCTGTAATACACCGCGATATTAAATCTTCCAACATTCTGTTGGACCAATCCATGAGGGCCAGGGTATGTCCTTTTTTCTCATTTGTTGCAAATTATGTTTGTGTCTGAGGGGTAGCACATAATGATGCACAAATGGTCCTTAGGATTTATTGATTCCTGGATATTTCTGCTTTGCTTGATCATATCGTTTCCTGTATATATATACTGAAATGGCTTGGCTCTTAAATTATTGCATCTGATCATGTGGATCCAAGTAGGTAGCGGATTTTGGCCTTTCAAGAGAAGAAATGGTCGATAGTCATGCAGCTAATATCCGGGGAACTTTCGGATATCTTGATCCTGAGTATATATCAACAAGGACCTTCACTAAAAAAAGTGATGTTTATAGCTTCGGAGTGTTGCTCTTTGAACTTATAGCAGGCAGAAATCCTCAACAGGGTCTTATGGAATACGTAGAACTAGTAAGCTTTTTCATACTCGTTCTGTCTCCCATCTCACAGACAGGTACAAAGTAGTTGCATATATGCTTACCGTTTGTTAATATAAATAATATGAACAGGCAGCAATGAACACGGAAGGAAAAGTTGGATGGGAGGAAATTGTTGATTCCCGTTTGGATGGGAAGTTTGACATGGAAGATCTAAACGAAGTGGCGGCTCTTGCATACAAATGTGTGAACCGTGTCTCAAGAAAACGACCTGCCATGAGAGATATTGTGCAAGTGCTGTCAAGAATCATTAAATTAAGACACAGTAGGAAACATCACAAGAAGTCCCCTTCTGCGACAGATGAGGTTTCAATTGATCTTGAACAACCAGAAACAAAGATCCAAATCAGTCAACACCGAAGAGATGAATCCATTGACAGCAGCATGACTGACGCCTGTGAAGTTTAGAGGATGGATTCTAGACATGTGAAGCTATTTTTGTCTGGTTCCTTGGTTTTGATTTTTTGTGTTTGTGAACTATATAGGCCTCTTCAAGAAACTAACAGAGCTCTATAGTTCATCAGCAATTTCTGATTGTTCAAGTGAGTTAGGCTTAAGAGGGGTGTTTTCCATAATGTAACATACATAGGTCACTTCCAATTTTGCTTCTTTTTATTTCTGGCCCTTACATCTGTTTGGTTGAAATGGCAGAACCCCGATTTGTATATTAATACTCTAGAAATGGAAACGAAAGAAATTTATTCTCTGTAAATTGCATACTCTATCTTTTACTACTTTTAAATACTTGGATCATTGTAATATTTTTTGTGGCTGATTAATTGGGTACTAAATTTTTCTATTGTTTTGAATTAGGTAAATATTACTCGGAGAAACAATGAGTCAAAACATATTTGTTAATGGTTTATGTTTCGATTAAGTTAAAGCTCGCTCATTCGATTTGCTCAAACTCAAATTACGCTTCGAATTTGAACTTTTCTTGAACAAACAAAACTGAGCTCAAAATTATTTGCTTGTTTATTAATAAATTACATCTTATATATATATATTTATTAAAATACATAATATGTAATATACGTTATAGATTATTTATTTAATTATATATTAAATATATTCGTAATTTTTAATAAAATAAAGTCTTAAAGGAGATTTTCATCAAACTTGTGAAATGCTTTGAACTCAATAAGATGAGCCCTTTAGGGTAAGGGAAAAAAATAATTGCTTCCCCACGGCAAAGGCCGAATCCGACCCGGCCCATATTCGATTCGCAACCACTCTGAGCTCCTCGTCCTTGTAGCTCAGCTTTATCCATATATCTCAACAGAGAAGACCTTCGCTCTCACCAAAAGTTAACAGAAACTCAAGAAGAAGAAGCCATAATGGCAGCCATGGCTGCTCTTCAAAGCTCGTTTACTTCGCTTTCTCTCTCCTCAAACTCCTTCTTGGGTCAACGTCTCTCTCCACCCACTCTCTGCCCCGTTCCCGTATGTTATCCAATTTCTTGCAGACTAAAATTCTCTCTTACTACATTTTCTGCTCTTATTTTATTTTGTAATTTAAATGTATATTATAAATCGATTTTTCATTATGTTCAAATTCGATTGTTTCAAATTGGAGAAACTGTACTTTGTTCTGGTCTAATTCGAGCACATTTTCAGCATAAAAGAAACTGGAGCACGTATTATAGATTTTTCCTTTTCATTAGTTTTGTATTTAAACTTGTAACTTCCTTGTTAGTTTCGTTCAGATAATGCTTTTTGAAACTGATTGTAATGCCAGATTTGACTAACTGTTCTTTTAGTGCCTAGTTAAGAGCCAGCTATACATGCAAGTAACTTTGGTTCAGCTTCATCATACTTCTGATTTATTTATTTATTTTGATACCGAAATGGATTTGGCTTCGATTAATAACTTCTTAGTTTTCTTAAACGAATCATAGTTGTTACAAATTGGAACAATTTCTTTTGGTTGGTAATGGCAATATACTTTTCTGGGTAATTAGTTTAGTTGCATCACTGAGGAAGAAACTACGTCGTGTGTGTTGCCTTTTCTCCATATTATTGACATGGAGTTTGATGAAATTGATATTTCTTTTGTTTGGCACTGAAACATTCCAGGTCGGCGTTAATGAATTTGTACAAACTTAGGTAATTTGTAGTTAGTGGTTAACTGAACAAGAAAGTATTCAATTCACACCTCTGGGGGAGGAAGTTGGCATCTGGTTGTTAAATTAAGAACTTCTTGTTTGGCATAGGGCACTTTCTCATAGGTTTCAGACATCCATTTACTTGCTGCCTTTTTTATTGATCACATTATGTTGAGCTGTTGAAGAGATATTCCCACTTGGAGTGTATGTATGCTAGAATTTCTCATTATGAAGTAAAAGAGATGGCTTCCTGTTTGTTAAATAAGACGATGTTTTGTCAGTTAATTAAAGAAGACCTTGTGTTGACTTCATTGACGAAGAATTTGTTCTCTGATTTTTTATCCCTTTCCCAGTTTCTTTAACTATATTAATGCATGTTGCCTCTGGAAGCTCTGGGGAAACGAAGCTCCATTATCTGGTATCTGTGTCTGTTTTGTCATTGTTGGGTAATGTGGATATTATTGATCTTTTTGTTACTTTCTCTTTGTAATTTTACATACTGGTTGCATTTGGACCCCCTTGGTGCCCTTACATTTTCTCTGCAACAAAATTCTGTTGAAGATAATGACTGCTGTTGTAAATTATCAATTTGCTACATGGTAAAAGTACATGGAGGTGGTTGATTCAATTAAAAAGTAAATTAGTAATTTGATGTAAATATGAAAATACAGGGGGAGTGTCTAATACCCGTTACCCATGTAAGCAAA